TTGTAGATATTATTATATGTATAAGATTGTAATCCGGATGCATAATTATCATGATCACAATTCATAATATTAGTTATAGATTATAACTTACTATTTTTTTATTATATTTGGTTGAAATAAATTGAATAGAAAAGTTTAATGATATTTAAAATTTCAAAATAATTTTGCTCAAATTATAACTAAATCTAAATCAAATCGTGGTGAATCAAATTAAATATGAAATGAATCGTAAATAAAAATTCGAAATAAATTATGATAAATATTATACATTTGGAAAAAATAAAAAATTCGGAACTAAAATATATCATTATCAAAATAAACGTTTAAAACATCATTTTCTAATTATAATTTTTTTTTAACAATATTTTTTTATATTTTGGGCATAATATAAACTTTATGTAATCATATTAGGGAAAAAAGATCTATCTCGTGAAACACCAATTCTTTTAATTTCTCACATTCCCGTTAGCAAAATATTGAGAATTCACTTCAAATGGACAGTTTCTATTATTTGCATCGCATCGTCTTCTGGGCTTACGTGAAAAGCTATCCTCATAAAAAGTTGTCGAACCATTATGGTATTTTTAAGCTGTTATATGTGATTAAATGATATTATCAAAGATTATCAAAAACCATGCCAATTATTTATATTTTATAGATTGTGTGAGGAGACCGATGAACGTGTCATTTCATGTATATAAATAATATTAAATAAATTTTTAGAAAATTCAAAAAAATTCTAAAAACATCGTGGAATTTAGGAGTAATGATGCTTTTTTCCACTTGTTCTAGATTGTAAATGGAAAATATATAATTCTTTACGAAAAGATTTGCGCGTCGGTATAATTGACTTGTTTCTATATCCTAGATACGAATCCATTTTTAACGGTTCTTTCATATTTATTATACTTTATTGTTTCGAAACTCTTTTAATTAATCGACCGGCAACCGCTGTAGTGCGTGATCCTAGTGAAAGAATACCGACAAGGGTCTTGAAATTTTATGCGCACCCACCATAAATTAATTAATGAATATACCTTATACACGTTTACAATATCTACAATGGTTAATATCATGTCGGGCATATATACAAACATTATATATGTGTGTGTGCGCGCCCTACTTGCGTAATAATGATCACTTTTTTGCATTGATGATTGAATATATCATTGCAGTCAATATGTCAATATGGCGGGAAAACGGGAGCTTCAATGCCCACTGAATTATTTTAGTACTATTTGTTGTTTATATATATATATATATATATATATATATGCATATATATAGTATGTTGGTTTCTTCTTCATAAGGATATCATCATTTGTTAAGGTTTCCCTTTGAATTTTCTTTCCTTTTGGGATCATGCATGCAGATTTGCACGAAGCTGTAAAAATTATGTAATCATGGAGACAGATTTTCAAAACCCAAATCATTTCATTTGGACCCCATTTTTGTCACCATAAAATTGTGTTACCAAATAAGTCCCTTTTTTAAAAAAAAAATCCAGTGTATCGATTTTACAACTACAACGACGGCTAGGACCAATATTTTAATTTATGAAAGTATATATATATATATATGGTTAAAAATTATGAAAGTATATTAATTACGATAAGATTTTATTCAAGCTAAACGAAGGCATTGATTGATGGAAAGTCACTCCTCACTTGTCTCTTGTTATTATCTTCTATTTATAGATAGTGCGGAGGAGGTGAAACTCGTGATTAAACAGCATTAATTCATGTAAACATAATTAAAGTTAGTGTTTAAGAATAAATCATATATATAATATTTCCAAACAAAAAGTTAGTGTTATTTGTATTTATTTATTTATCAAATTTCCCCTTTATTTACGGGACCCAAATCTCATCATTCCTGGAATATTGTCATCGTAGACCCATTTGTTGTCGTTTTGTCTGGGAGCAGTTGTTGACTCCAATAACATATTTATTTGCATCTTTACCAATTTCCACAGTTTTTTCTTCTTCTTTGATTTTCGTAAATTAGATTTTTTTCAAAACTTTGAGATTTAATTTGGCTTCTAGGGTTCGGTTTTTATTCGAAATCCGTGTAATAATCCGACCAGACCTACGTACAGTGTTGTTTTTATTAGAATACGGTTAGATCGATAAAATTCGGTTAAGTACAATGTAAGTTATATAAACAATTCATATGTTTTGTATTCGATAATGAAAATTTTCAGAAATTTATTTAAATCTCCAAATTTTAATAGGGTTTGTTTTGTTGTTAATTTTCGTGTCTATTTAATTTTATATATATTTGTGCATGCATGTACTTCTGTTTCTTGTTTTATTATATTATGTAAGATAATGTCGCCTTGTGATTTGAGTAATTACTAGTATATTTTATAGAGTTGTGCTGCTGACGAATTAGTTAATACTTGTTTAAAATATTTGTATTTATTTATTTACAGAGCATCAATATCGTATATAAATTTTTATCAAAAAAAAATATCGTATATAAATTTCAAAAAGTCCTTATCGAACTTAATATAATATAGTTTATTTTCATTCATAACCATGTCAATTTAATGTATATGAACAAAAAGAAATAGAAATATTTTTGAAAAAAGGAGATTAGCATATAAAATATTAAACTATACAAAAGATTGTAAATTTAATGTTGAAATCTTCTAATTACAAAAAATAATATGAATTATAACCAGATTTTCATATAAAAATCAAACTTTTAAAATTTTAACATATTTCATATAAAAATTAAACTTTTCCTAAATAAAAGTTAAGATATTTTGTTCTTTATAGTTTTTCGATAATGTTTATGGTACATAAATACTCATTTCAATAAGATTCATTACCGAACAAATATTTACAATGGCAACAACAAGGGTTAAAATTTTTAAGAATAAAACGTAAATATAAGAAAAAAAGTAATATTTTATACAATATTATTAGAAACAGTTTTTTATTACTAAAAAATATTTATGTATATATGTCGTGAAAATGCACATGTATGTACATATACATGGCGGAGGGGATGACAGTCAGAAACCAGCTTTCATGAATGTCAGATGAATAAAGCACAAAGCTCATCACACGTCACATCAACTACCGAATCTACGGCTCTAGATTCGCTGTGACCAGACTCCGTCGATCCTCACCGTCCATTGCTTTTTATAGCTGTGCATTTATTTTCAAACTAGTTGCATGAAATAATTTTGATTTAAAGATATATACCCCATAGTGATAAAATATCCTCATTGCCGTATGTTCATGCTTCTCTTCGGAATCTGCTTAGATTATATGTTTTAATATATTGTCAGTCGAAATTCATTGCTAAAACAGATTTTTTGAAACATTGCTTTGAGAATTTATGTTATTACTATTCATGATATATCGTTAATTATTTATTACAATGGAGGTTGGTATCATACAGAGAGAAACCCTGAAATGTACTCAACCATATATTTATTCTAAAATACTTATATGTTAATATAAAATGGTTATATATATATAATATTTAAATTTAGATGATCTAGAGATCAAATAAATATATAAAATATATTTTTATTCTGGTTTTAAATCTAAACGTGGAGAGAGATTTTTACCTCCTTCTCTTAAAAAGTTGGATAAACAATTTAGTAAAATTTTTAAATTATATATATATATATATTCTGTTAAAATAAATCTAATTAATATGAAATAATAATGTAGGTTTATTGGGAAATGGATGGATAGGGCATGAAATTTAACAGAGGTTGCTGTGAATTAAAAAAAAAAACACTCGAAGCATTTCTGACCAAACTCTCTTCCCATTGGCCATTTCCTTCTCCCCATTAGATTCACATCCACTCCCCTCATTTTCTTCCCTAAAATGCTACAAAAAGCGAAAAAGAGGGAGTATTTATTGTTTTTTTCTTTTTCAATCTCATAAATTTAATAATTAGGGGTTGAATTAAATAATTAGGGGATGTTACATGGGGCATCTTTCATGTTATCATATTATTTGGGATTTTTACATACAAAAATTTCATAAAAAATCCATAAAAATACAAATATGAGTTGTAAGCAAAAACTACGTTCATTAATGGATGAAATTAACGAACTCTCTACTCCATATTATAATTCCTAGGGGTGGGCACGGGTACTTGAAACCTGCGGGTTTTCGGGTATCCGGTCTCACGGGTACTCGAAACACGGGTATCATTTATATAACGAAGACGAAAACGGTTTTGATGAAGCCAAAAATTTGGATTGCGGGTTCGAGTCCAGGTTTTGTTTGAATGGCGACGGGTACTTTCGGATACCCATATACGAATAAAATGACAATTATATCCCTGATATTTTTATATATTTACAATAATTATTTAAAATATTTTTATATTAAATTACTAAAATACAAGTCAACAAAAGTCAACATTTTCTAACGAATTGGATGAGTTCGGGTACTCTTAGGTAATCGAATTCAGCGACGGGTATCCGAACCATGGGTATCCAGATTTGATAAAAACAAAAACGAGATAGCGTTTTCTCAAAACCCGCGAAGACGAAGACGAAGCCCGGGTACCCCAAAAACTCAGGGTACCCGACCCCTGTCCACCCCTAATAATTCCAATCCAGTGATGTGTTTTCGAGCTCTTAGCAATTTCCGAACCCTCGATATTTTGATTGGAGACGTAACCTTTTAGTTTTAGATACTAGAATAAATTCCATTACATTCTCTAACGTGTCTTTTTTAGCCGTAAAACAAATATAACCATATTTTACCATACTAATAAATAAATTTGCTCAAATATAAAACCTTTGGAGGCGATACAATGTACTTAATATCGAAGCAAGTAATTTATAAAACACAGAGAAAAGGGTATTTACTGATTGAATTTTCAAATACAACTTAACTTATAAATTAAATGTGGAGGCTAAACAAAACAAAAGATACACACAAAAACCCAACGGGTGTATGTATGTATGAGTGGAGAGAGACTATTTAAGGGGATAGAAAGGGAAGTAAGAGCGTTGTCGTCCGATGAGAAGCAAATACTCCATAGGGTTTTAGGGAACGTGAAGAACAATAAAAGAAAAAGGGGAGAGAGAGAGAGAGAGAAGACAAGGAAGAAGATATATGATATAAGTCTGTAATAATATATATATATATATATGTACGCACAGATCCCTATAGAATGCAGGGATGATCCCCAGCATTGTTTTTTAGAATTCATTCCTTTTGTTTAGTTTAAACAGACGGATCCTTGTTCTCTTTTGGAGAGAGAGAGAGAGAGAGAGAGAGAGAGAGAGAGATAGAGAGGGAGGGGGGAGGAAGAAGAAGAGGAGGTCATGGGTCCATCGTCGTTTCTTTTTGTTATTCTTGGTCTTTGAAACGATTTCTATATTATCTTTTCAGATATATATATATATATATATATATATGTATAAATAATATGGAGAATTATAACGGAAGTGACTTTGGCATGATTACTCTCTCATATATCTCCCCCCAATGATTGATTGAGTTTTGCCTTTGAGTCAAGAGAGAGAGAGAGAGAGGTTGAACAAGAACTAGACCAAGAACAAGGAGAAGATGAAGATTATGGACGACAACAGTAACTGGTTGGGGTTTTCTCTGTCTCCACACATGACAATGGAGGTTGCTGCTGCATCTGCAAACCAACAACAACATGATCATCATCATCACCAGCATCATCATCATCACAGTAATCAGTACAATGGCCACAACACTCATGCAGTTCCCACAAGTTCTGCTTCTCTCCCCACACATGGTTTTTACTCGTCTCTCTCTTCGTCTTCTTCTGCAACTCCTACTGACCTGAACAGCCATGGAATCTGCTTCGGCGCCGAAAACGGAGGCTTTCACGCTCCTTCGCTCTCAGTCATGCCTCTCAAATCGGACGGATCTCTTTGCATCATGGAAGCTCTCTCAAGATCACAACCCAGTACGCATTTCCACATTCTTTTACATGTTTTCTCTTCCTTTTCCCCAAAAAATGTCAAAGATCTCCACTTTTTTTTATTAAAAAATGTGTTCTTTTCATGTGCAGTGTGTGAAGGTATGGTGGTTCCGAGTTCATCGCCTAAACTCGAGGACTTTCTAGGAGGTGCAACGAGAGAGACGACAATGCCACTCAGCTTGGACAGCTTTTACTACCAACAACACAACAGCGCACAAGAGAGCTCAGAGACCAAACACCAAACACAAGAGCTTCAACACCAAATGCAGTATTACACGGCCGGATCACTCACTTGCCACGGCATGTTTCAGTCAAATCTCGACCCTGACATGAACGATGATCATATGGTGAGCTTGAAGAACCAAATGCTGTTTGGTTTCATAGACGGCGGAGGAGGAGGAGGAGGAGGCGGTGGAGATTTGCAGGCGTTGACATTGTCAATGAGCCCTGGTTCTCAGTCTAGCAGCTGTGTCACGGTTCCAAGACAGCGCCATAACTCATCGCCTAACGAGTGTTTGACCATTCAAGATCCAAAGAAGAATATGATGACTCCCAAAGTCACCACTCAGAAGCAAACTGTTCACAGGAAATCCATTGAGACCTTTGGACAAAGAACTTCACAATATAGAGGTGTCACAAGGTAAAAAAAAAATCATTATACTCTAATTTTTTTTTTGTCGTGTGAATACGAAATTAAAATCAAAACTTTTTCTTGGTCTCATTACAGGCATAGATGGACTGGTAGATATGAAGCTCATCTGTGGGACAACAGTTGCAAGAAAGAAGGACAGACCAGGAAAGGGAGACAAGGTTTTAATTTTTTTTTCTTTTTGTAAAAAAAATCATAATTTTCTCTATACCAAAAAAAAAAAAAACATTCACACCATTCCACGTTATTATTGTATATGCTTCATCTGACTTTTGTCTTGAAATGTCTCTTTTGTATTGTCATTCACATGCCTTTTCTCTGGACGCCGTTCCAAACGAAATAATTCACATTGTGCTGCAGTCTATCTAGGTACAAAATCTTCTTGTCATTATATCAAAATTTAATTATATTCTTATATATATATATACATATCTATATATATATGTAGTTTCTTGTATTTAACCAAATGAAGAATTTCATGGGTTTTTTTTTTAAAAATAATACATCACAGGTGGGTATGACATGGAAGAGAAAGCTGCTCGAGCTTACGACCTCGCTGCCCTCAAGTACTGGGGACCCTCCACTCACATTAATTTCCCGGTACGATTCCTAATCTCTATTGTCGTTATTTTTGTTTTGGATTATAACGTATAGTCTTGTGCATGAAATGAACCCAAAAAAAATCTTTTTTTTTTTTAAATATTCGCAAATAATTACAGCTTGAGAATTACCGCGACGAGTTAGAACAGATGAAGGGCATGACTCGCCAAGAGTACGTCGCTCATCTGAGGAGGAAGAGCAGCGGCTTCTCGAGAGGAGCCTCCATGTACAGAGGAGTCACAAGGTAATTTTTTTTTATTTTATTTTTTAATTTCACTGTTTTGTTTTTTAGGGTTTACTAATTAGTGATTTATTAATATTCATTTTTTTTTGTTTCAACATGTTCTGTTTTTTTAGGGTTTACTAATGAATGATATGTGAATATTTTTGTAGGCATCACCAGCATGGAAGATGGCAAGCAAGGATAGGCAGAGTAGCTGGGAACAAAGACCTCTACCTTGGAACTTTCAGTCAGTGTTGCTTTGCTTAAAGTTTGAATCTTTTTTTTTTTCTCTTTAAATTTCAAAACTTTTATTAAATTTCCGAAAAAAAGAATCTAATTTTTGTTTTTATTTTTGCTAAGTTTGTGTTGGTATACGCTTTTGATAAAGCCTGGTGGAGATTTCTCACTTTGTCATTGTACCTCACCATCAAAGCTTTTTTTTTCCTCTAAGGCTGCAATTCTCTCTGTTTTCATAAGTAGAAATGACAATTAAAATATCTAAATAAAGTGCCAAAGTAAAAGATAAAAGAATCGCGCATGATCACAAAGGCTAAATTTTTGCTACATTCCATCTTTTTAATATATATATATATATATATATATATATATATATATACATTCTATGACAAAAATGGTGATATTATTTTTTTAACGTTTTCAGGCACACAAGAGGAGGCAGCTGAGGCTTACGACATAGCTGCAATCAAGTTCCGAGGAGTGAACGCTGTCACTAACTTCGACATCGCCAGATACGACGTCGAGAAAATCATGTCGAGTAGTACTCTTCTCGCCGGCGAAAATGCCCGTAAAATCCACAGGGAGATGCCTCCGGTTAATCATCTCGAACCGGTCGGTTACGCTAACCAAGTCCCGGTTCAAACCGGGGTCCAGAACCCGGTTCAGCCCGACAACATTCCGAATTATCATAATGCCCCGGCGTTCCCCTCGGCGGCGGCCTTGGAGGGTTTTGTGGGAATCGAATGTGTGGATAAGGTAGGGGTACATTTGTCAAATCCATCGTCGCTGGTGACGAGTTTGAGCAGTTCGAGGGAAGGTACTCCGGATAAAACCGGCTCGACCTCGGGTTTAGGGTTTGATAAGAATGCTCTCACGGCCAAGTTCGTAAATCCGGCCGCCGGAGTTGCGTCATGGTTCCCCGCGACGCAGCCATTGAGGCCCTCAGCCGCAGCCGCTGTCACCGCGGTGCCAATGGCGCACTTTCCTGTTTTCGCTGCATGGAACGACGCATGAAATGTCAAAGACGAAAGGGCAAAACGGCGATTTGGGTTTGGCATAGGAAGGGTAAAAAGGTAACAACGGTGACTTTTGGGGGGTATTTAGTGAAATGAAGTTAAGAATTATATAATGTTTGATTAGATATGTGGCTTTTAGGTCTAAGTGGAGGAAAATATGGGGGGCAAATGAGTGAAAGACAGATAGTTTTGGGGCCCAATGTATCAATCTTTTCACTCTGTTGGGGAGGGAATTAGAAAATCCGTGAAACTTCTTTTTCCAAATAGAAGTTTTATTTGGAGGGACACGGGACAATTTGGAGACAATGGAATTTAGGGTTAGATTAGAAGATGGAGGGGCCAAATCATGATTAATGTTCGTTTGGATTTTGTTCAACATTGTCCCTCTTGCTTTATATAATTCAAGCTTTATGTCTTTTCATTTGAATTCTTTTTCCATATAGTTTATAACGATTTTGTAGCATGAAATTTTATTCGAAATAGTTAGGTATAACATTTTCAACTCACTATATATTCGGTTCAAATTAACATTTCGAAACTTAGAATTTTATATAAATATCATTTAGAGAACAAAGAATGGCACATATGTTCTTATAAAGTAACGTTATTCCTTTTTTTCTCCTCGTAACTAAATTAATTTAACTTGTTTGATCCTAAATATCCATCATTTTTTTTATCAAAAAGAAAAAAAACTAAAATATTATTTATTTTAACTCGGTTGATCACAGACTTCATTCATTATTATTTTTTATTATTATTGATGTTAAAATAGTAAAATCTAAAAAATGATATATTATGGAAGCATAACTAATAAAATGTGGTTATAGGGATCGAAATCGAATTCAATCGTTTGCACGAGAGATCTTCGACCATAATGTCACAATTCATTGTACGACAAACGAGGGATATGCGCCGCAAAACATGCGACTTCGAGACTTAGATACGGTCTATATATATATATAAATATTAGGTTAATTAATTTTATAAAGCGGTGACGATTTTTTCTTGAATTAGATAATCTTATTTTTATGCGAAAAGCGTAAGACGCCGTAGCATACTTGATTTCTTGTTTTGCGGCATAGTGTCGAAGTATTTTACTGTACAAAATATTTGCAATGCGTATATTTTGACCATTACATGCTTTAGAAATCGAGTCGTGACGAATTTTAAAGAAAATGAAATATCGTTTTACAATTTATCTGCGCATGTGTTTGCACAGTTATTAAATTAGGGTTTTTACATCCGTTAATTTGATTTGTTTTCGTTTAGCCAGGTGTTATCTAAAATATATCTTACTAAAATTTAAGTAATTTTGTTGTTTAAAAATTATAAGGTATATAATCAGATTTTTAATCAGATACAGATTGTTTTTGTAGCGATTGAATATAAAAAAATTCAGAGTTGGATTTGCTTTATACTTATTTAGATCATGATCTGCATGTATTTTATATATTTATTTATATTCTGCATGGCTTTTTTTTATGTAAACTCACAGCCGTTAAAAAGGTTATAGTAAACCATGTATTTATGTATTTATTTATATTATGCATGACTTCTTTTTTTTTTTTTAATTCAAGATAAACTGGTTTAACTGGTAAGGATGAAACATATTTATTTTTTTTTTAATCTAGATTTAAATCTGTATTTGAGGAGAGACGTTCACATGAATTTTTTTCTCGTCTAAAAGATATAGTTGAAAGATATAGTTTAATCGAAAATTTGATAAATTTATGGATTATAAAAAAACAAACTCTAGAATACCTAACAACGTTAGATACGTATATGTTTGTGATAGATTATGCACTTAATGATTCTCATTAATAATAACAAGCGTATTTATACAAGTGTATTAGGGTTAGTTATAATAATCAATATTTACATATCTTATAACTCTATACGCCCCCTCAAGATGGAACACCGGAGGTGAGGCCAATCTTGACAAAGAGATCGTGAAAGACAAGACTTGGTAAATGTTTGGTGAGAGCGTCCGCAAGTTGATCCGCAGAGGAGACATGAGAGACACGGAGATCGCCGGATTCAACAAGTCCTCTAACGAAGAAATAGTCAAGGGCAATATGCTTCATACGTGAGTGAAACACCGGATTTGAGCTAAGATAAGTGGCCCCGATGTTGTCACAATAGACAACCGGTGCCGTCGAAGGAGGAGATCCAAGTTCAGACAGAAGAGACGACACCCACTTAACCTCGGCAGCCGTACTCGCAACGGATCGATATTCCGCCTCAGTGGAAGAACGAGAGACTCCCGATTGCTTCTTGGAAGACCATGAGATGGGATGACTACCCAGAAACACAACATACGCACCAGTAGATTTGAAATCTGTGCGGTCTCCGGCCCAGTCAGCATCCGAGAACGCATAAAGTACCGGTGATGAATGAACACCAAAGAAAATACCGCATTCCTTCGTTCCAGCTAGATAACGAAGAACACGTTTGAACGCATGCCAGTGCTCATCCGTAGGTGTATGCATAAACTGAGACAACTTATTCACAGCGAATTGAATATCTGGTCTGGTGAGAGAGAGATATTGAAGGCTACCGACCAAACCTCGATACTCGGTGACGTTGTCAATGGGAGAGCCAGACAATGCTGAGAGCCGAGAGGTGGACACCATCGGAGAGGCGACCAGCTTGGCCTCAGACATATTAGCTCGAGCTAGAATGTCAGATATATACTTCCTCTAGGTGAGTAGTAGTCCTTTCGATATTCGTGAAGCTTCGATCCCAAGGAAGTAGGATAAGTCACCTAGGTCTTTGATAGAGAAACGGGCAGCAATATCATCGATCACTCGAGTGACAAGAGAAGAAGAGCTCCCGGTCACAACAATATCATCAACGTAGACCAAGATGAAAACTCGAACATCCGATTGATGCAGAATAAAAAGGGAAGCATCCGCCAAAGAATTTTGAAACCCACGACCAAGAAGATAGGTACGAAGCTCCGAGTACCAAGCCCGCGGTGCTTGTTTGAGACCATAAATAGCCTTCCTGAGTTTACACACAAAGTCAGGACGTCGATGATCAACAAAACCCGGAGGTTGCGACATGTAGACTTCCTCGGATAATGTTCCCTGTAAAAATGCGTTGTTGACATCAAGTTGACGTAAAGGCCAGCCACTTGAGATCGCAAGACTTAGAACAACCCGAATAGTGGTCGGCTTAACAACCGGACTAAAGGTCTCATGAAAATCAACCCCCGGTCGCTGTTAAAATCCCTTGTCAACAAGGCGTGCTTTGAACCTGTCAACAGTGCCATCGGGTTTCCGTTTCACTCTATAGACCCACTTGCATCCAACAACATTCTGAGCACTATCTGGAGACACTATCCGGAGATACCAAAACCCACGTCTCATTGCGACAAAGAGCTTCATATTCCTCTGTCATCGCAGCTCTCCAACGAGGATGCTTAAGCGCTTGAGTCACAGTTGCCGGTTCAACATCAGCATTCGAAGCAGAGACCATGAGAGCATATTTTGGATTGGACTTAACAATGTTGCTCTTTGATCTAGTCTGCATCGGATGAAGGTTTACCGGCATGGGTTGAACCGACGAACCAGACGTGACAGCCAAGTCCGAGAGAGGCAACTCCGATGCTGTCAAGGCAGGAGTATCAACCGAAGAATCCAGGCCAAGTACGGGTCCATCCATGTCAGAGGACCGATGAGCACTAGCAGAGGAGATGTTCGCAGGCAGAGGAACCGGCGGTGAAAGATCCGAGCTCAGGGGCTGACAAAGCGGAGGTGTCGTGAGTGGGCACCGAGCATGACTCAAAGGGTGAATCAGATGATGAGAGAATGAAGAAGGTTCAACAACACCAGATGTCGGAGAAGGAAAATAGGCTGAAAAATCTGAGTAAGGAAAGATCGACTCGAAAAACTGGACATGACGGGACATAAAGAGGCGAGAGTGAAGTGGGTCAAGACAGAGGTAAGCGCTTTGAGTAAGTGAGTAACCGAGAAAAAGACACGGACGAGAACGAGGCTCGAGTTTGTGAGACGTATAAGGACGAAGCCAAGGAAAGCAAAGACAACCAAACATACGTAACTTCGAGTAGTTCAGCGAGGTTAGGAAAAGACGCTCAAAGGGGGATGACATGGATAATGTAGGTGTCGGCATCGATCCTATTTATAAGATAAGTGGTTGTAGTAAAGGCAAATGACCAAAATGACGTAGGAAGAGAGGCATGACTAAGGAGAGACAAACCGGTTTCAACTATATGTCTATGACGACGCTCGGAAATACCGTTGTGCTCGGGAGTGTGGGGAGGTGTGGTGTGATGAGAGATGCCGTGAGAGGCAAGAAAAGAATGAAGGGCCGTGTATTCACCACCATTATCCGAATAGAGAGTAAGGATCTTGGCGTTGAACATGTTCTCTACCAAGGGTTTAAAAAGAATAAAGGTTTCAAGAAGTTGAGATTTTTTCTTTAAGGGGTAAAGCCATGAATATCTGGTAAAGTGATCAACAAAAAGAGCGTAATATTTATACCCATCAATCGAAAAGACAGGAGAAGTCCACACATCCGAAAAAATAATTTCAAGAGGACGATGAGAAACAATAGTCGAGGTGGAAAAAGATAATTTGTGACTTTTATTCGTGCAACAAGAATGACAAAACAAAGACGAAGAATCCCGAGACAACGACAAGCCAAGCTTCGATAAAATAGACTTAAGAATAGGAAACGCAGGATGACCTAAACGAGAGTGCCACTCGGACAAAGTGGACTTGACACTAGGATAAACTTGAGGAGAAGAACTACTGGAGGAGCCCGACGACAAACTCATAGACGCCCTCTTTACTTGGACCAGTGAGAACTGACGCCCCCGTGCTGAGATCCTTCACCTGAAAATAAGACGGGAAAAATTCCACGGAAACATCATTAGTGCTGCATAACTGCTGGACAGAGACCAGGTTCTTGGTCATTGAGGGCACACAAAGCACATCATTAAAATGAAGAGAGCGACTCGGTAAGGGAAGAGAAAAGGAACCCGAATGTGTGATGGAAAGCCCAGAACCATCACCAACAACAACATCCTCACCACCTTGATACGGAGAATGAAGAGACAGATTATGAAGATCAGTCGTGATATGATGCGATGCTCCACTGTCCAGCAACCACGAAGAGGAGTCATAGGACGGGTGAGCTACATGATGAGCTCTCGGTTGCCACAGTCGAGGAGATGAAGACCACGGCAGAGGCTGACTCCATGGCTGAGGTGATGAATGATTGGGTTGAGAAGACAAAGACGATGGTCGATATTGCGAGCAACGCTTCGCAGAGTGCGCATGAACACCACAAATCTGACAACGACCTTGGTATCCTCTCGGTTGAGACGAGGAGAAGGAACCACGAAGCCATGGCGAACCACGGGATGGTCGATGATGACGGCGTGCACGCACGGCCGTGTTGTGCACGGTGACCGGTGAGGACAGCAAGGATGGAGCGGGCGCAGCCATGAGAAGCTTCGCCTCGTGATTGAGGAGCTTTTCATGAAGTTCCTCAATAGGTATAGCCGTGTCACGTGCAAAAATAGCATCAACCACATGTTTGTATTCTTCGGGTAAACCCGCAAGAATAGCCTCGAGCACATCCTCATGATCCATCGTCTTGCCGAGAAGGGCCAACTCATCGGTTTTGGCTACAATGAACCGTATGTATTCATCGATGGATTGAGTACCTTTGGTGGCTCGTTTGATTTGATCCCGAAGTTGGAGAAGATGTCCGCGGGAAGCTTTGCCATAGATGTTAGCCAAAGTGTGCCAAGCCTCTTGAGTTGTGGTGGCTCGGGCAACCACCGGCTGAAGAGAAATAGTGAGAGTGCCTAGTAAGGCACTGAAAAGTAGACGATCCTGCTGTTTCCAAGGGCCGAATTCAGGATTTGCTTGGGAGACACCATCGACCTCCATTGTCGCGGTTGGAGCTTTGATGTCAGCATCAATATAGCGAGAGAGATCGTATCCTTCAAGAAGAGCACGGATCTGAATACTTCAAGTCAAGTAATTCGTGGACGTCAATTTTGTGATGTTTGACATGTTCACGAAGAGAAGCTGAGAGGAGGAAGCACCGGTGGTGATCGGTACAGATTCTACAACCTGGACGAAGGAGTTGTCAAGTAAAGAAGACATGGTGAGAAGGAGATGACTTGCAGCAGAAGAAACAAAGAGACCAATCCGGAGGTGCGACGCGGAGAAGTGCCGAAGGAAGAAGAACCAACTCGGAGAGGCAACCCAATGTTACCAGGCAGACCGAGACTGCGTGCGACGACTTCGGAAGAAAGACAGCGGTAGAGAGCGACGGCGGCGGTAACCCGTGAGAGAGAAAAAAATATTTTTAGGGTTTCCAGTACTCTGATACCATGATAGATTATGCACTTAATGATTCTCATTAATAATAACAAGCGTATTTATACAAGTGTATTAGGGTTAGTTATAATAATCAATATTTACATATCTTATAACTCTATAGTTTGTATGTTTCTTAAATATTTGTTTAGGCAATATGGTATAAAAATATCCTACATGACACGCATTAATTTAGATGTTAATGGGCATATTCTAATGTATTTTAAGTTCTATTTTTGGACAAAGATCCAATAATTTATGGGGAAAGAAATCTATATATATATGTATGTATGTATGAAGAAATTAGGAGAGGACATAGGGACAGAGAGCAAAAGGGGCAGACAAAAAGAGGAAGATGCCAACAACCACAAACATGGCAAAGGAAAAAGGCCACAAATTTAGTGATTAACCGGTCAAAAAGATTACAAAAATAAAAATAAAAATAAACCAAAAATTAAATGAATAGATTATAAAGTTTAAAACTTTCAAAAGCGAGGAAAAAAAGGGTTGCTAACAATTTTAACAATCAAATACATTGTTTGAGTTTTTAGTCAATAAATATGATTACAAGTTATGTCAATTTTTACAGGTTGGAGTCCAAGTGTGGGGAACACCCACAAGATCTCAATAAGACATTTGAATTGATGGACCGATTTTGTTTTTTTTGTTTTTTTAATTTTATTTCCCTCTATTATAATCTTTTTTTTTTGTAAAAAAAAAGGACAGCTAATTTCAGTTTTGATGTATAAATAATATATGCGAAATTATTGTATACATTTTTGGTAGTTATATCTGGATTCAACTTCAACTCTGATAATCCAAAATAAAAGATGATTTGACCCTATCTTGGGTTACCCATTATTTTTACCTCTTACATGTATCATTTATTGTTTTAATTAATTAAATAATTACATTTTTTATTGGTTTAAGATTAACTAAATAATATCATTAAAAATATTAATATAATCATAAATTTATATTACTACTAAACATTAATATAAGAAAGGATATACAATAACATTTCAGATATTTTTAATTATGATATGTGAAAAAGTGAATTAAAAAAAAATCAGAGCAAAACAATAATAAATTGATTTATGGTAGCAATAAAGGCGAGTGAGAAGAGAAGATAGAGAGATCGGAGAGCGAGAGCATTTGTGTTATTCATGTGGTTCCATGAGTCATGTTTACAAGGAGACATATGTTAGCTAGCATTTATATATGGTAGGCCATATATATATATATATATACGTATATTTCAAAATCATAAAATGTACGCACATATTGAGTAGAATAAATACTCATAAATGAATCACACATAGATTATAATTTGCTATAGTGTAGTATACTTATTTTATACTTATTTTGGATATTTTTTTTTAGGGAAAATGACATTTTCCTACACCAACTTTGCAAAATGTGACCTTTTCCTACACGAATTTTTAATTTGACAAAAAACTACACCAAATTATCAAATGTGCCAAATTGATACACGAACTACCCAATTTAACTGCAATTTCCTACACAATCCGAAAACGGTGTTAAGTGTCCGTTAACCGCTGACGTGGCACGCCACATGGCGGCTGACGTGGCACGCCATATAGATTTTTTTGCCACATCAGCATGCCACATCATATTTTTTAAAAAATTCCGAAAAATATGAAAAAAAATCGATTTTTTTTTAAATTTAAAATAAAATAAATA